GCCTGGTCAACAACAGATTTGGCTGGCCTGTTTATCCGAGCGGCGCCCGCTGGATCCGATCAGCTACTGGGCCATAGTCTGCCTGCCCTTGATGCCTTAGCCAGCTCGCCCATACAAGTTCGCATCGGGTCCGCGCCGGGGTTCCGAAATCCTGGCACCCTGGTTGGCACAACAAACGCCTTCCTGTTGGATGTCCTGCGTCTTCCGGTACGAACCGGCCAGTAGCTTTTTCTGCCTTTTGGTTTTTTTCCTAGTACCCAATGGACTACCTCTGTTACGTGGGTGACAAATAAGTTTTGCGTGGTTTTTCTCTTGATCCTTGATTTATATTTGCAGTGGCTTTGCTATCCCCTTTAATGTCAACCAAAATTTTAATGTCTTTTTCCGATTCGAAAAAGTGCCTTAACATAGTTTTACTACTAATTATCGTTCATTTTAATGTGAAGATACATCTATCGCGTCAAAATATCGGCTTTTAAATGAACTTCCTTCCGACCGCCTGGAAAATCTGTACGATATAAAAAAGACTACTTGAATAGTATGTATTTTTATTATTTGAGTTTTGCTGCTCCTATAAATGCAAATATGCTTTATTGAAAGATTGTGCGAAAATATGCTTTCTGGTATTCGTTTGTTAGCAGCATACGTCTTACTCAAATGTTATGCCTAACAACGGGGTGCCTTTTGGATTTAAATAAGTTTCTAGTTATGAGATTATTCAAGATCGTGAAATGGCCATTAACAAAGCATCGTATGTTTCCATTCCTTTAGGTTGCGTATATAGTAGACAGTATGGCCTAATCCATTAAAATTTTTTATACTGTAGACATATGTACGGTGTTCCTTACACAGAATGTATACAGCATGCAATTTGGTAACCCTGAATGTGCACGTTCGGTTTCAGGTTATTCGGCAATGGAGAAAGAAGTTTTCCTCGTAAGCTTTTCTCATGTAAAAAATAAAGAAAACGCAATTACCTCTCAAATGAGTACCTGAAAGAATAGTTTCGCGCATGCCTTCTTTAAAACAAATATATAAAATAAATGAGAAAAACGCATCCTTCTCAGGTACTTTTTATTTATAGAGTTTATTTTTATCGGTTGTTGGAAGCCGGGAATTTAATCGTATTTTGGTCAGACGGATTACTCAAATCCCCTAAAACGTTTCTTACTACCCGCGCCTCTTGGGAACTTTACAATTGCCTATTCTTGTCCTTCCGTGTGCGCCCTAAACTTGCTGTACGTTGTGCCTTACTCTCGCAGCTACTGGACCAAGTGGCCTCCCTCAGCGTCGGCCTCTTTGAGGTTCCTAGTCAGGCTGGAATGATTCCCGGATTTGCCGTCCCCTGCGCCCCCCTGGACGCTGTTCTGAAGGCTTTTCGACAACTGGCGCAGGCCTGGTTCGCTGCTCCAACCCGGTCTACTAGCCTAAAGCCTTCTGGCTTCCTGAAGACTGTGCCTCCAGGCAGGGTTGAGGCCTACTTTGTAGGTTTTATTTGCTCCTAACCCCAAATTGCTCAATTCTTATTTAATAGGAGACGAAAATTCACTAATGGGTGTGGCTTTTCGAGAGTCAGGTTTGTGTATGTATAACGAATACCGAAACTAATCGAACGCTGGGACCATTTGTTTACTTTCGGACTCGTCTCTGAGTTCATCAACAAAGATGACAGGGAAAACGGAACAAAACATGGTTATAGACGTATTAGCCCATCAAAGATCAGTGGCGCATGTTTGGAACTAATTGCCTATGGTTCTTCTGTATGCCGGCGCCTAATCGATACATTGATTGACTTCGTTCTCATTAGAAGCCCAGCCTTCGATAAATTATCGACGTATTTTGCTTTCTCCGTGGGTGGTTATCTT